CCGCGGTTCTTCATTTCATCGTTGTGCTCACGGATGTCGCTTCACCGCTTGCTCGGCTTGTTTTCCAAATCCCGCAGGTGTCAACGTGTCTGCCGGTGAAGCCCAGGCCAATGCCGCGGCCAGTAGTGGGCCGACAATCTCCCCGGCTGATAATCAACGGACGGCCCGCCCACAACTCACACGTTTTACACGCTTTGTGTGCATGCCTCGAGATGAGTTTGCGCAGAGGGTCCGGGACATGATCGCTGCCCAACTCTTTGCATCTGTCGGTCGACCAGACCTGCGCATGGAAGGCTCAACATCTTGGGGTGTCTGGTTGCGTGTTTTTCATGCTAGTCCGCCCGGTACAAGCGCTGGTCGAGGTCCACGTGTCCGTTGTGGTGTGTTGTATCATGTATCACAGATGTCCTTGTTCTTCCATGGAGACGAACAAACCGTACGCGAGCTACTGTTACCACGCTTTGAACAGTGGACATATCCTTCTGTCGATGCTCTGCCGCAACGCACTTCGCTTCTTGCATGTGGGTCGTCTGCATCACGTCTGGTTGCTCCAGTACCGTATGTTGCCAACATGCCCGCAGACACGTCTGACTCGCAACAGTTGTTGACCCAATCGCCAGCTGAGTCAAGTCGAGGATGCTACACGGGTGATGTTGGTGCAATCGTTGTCGACGCTTTCGGACAGTGTTTCTACATTGTGCTCATGTCTGTCTGGCTCCGGAGTTGGTGATTCACCGCCTGGGCTCCCAGCCGTTCCGGCACAGCGAGAGGATTCAACTGCCCGCGTAGTCTCGGTTGCGCCTTCTGATGCCCACTCCGCCACGTCAATTTGTCGTCGGCGTGGTTGCAATGCTGGTGTCGCTGCGTGTTGCTCCACCGGTTATTGTCCAGCTCATTGTTTGGGTCGCCGTTGTCGTTGTCGAAATGAAAGCCTGAATCCTAGGCGACGTGCGCGTGACGCAGGCCCCACCTCTGTTCCCGTTGAGCGCCCAACAGGTTCAAACCCCTCTTCTGCGACGTTAGTGCCTCCGGGGGTCCATGCCTCCCGCCCCAATGCGCGCACCCGCACTGCTTCAGGTGTGGTAGGGCAAGTACAGCGTGTTTGTCGACGCGCGAACTGCCCCAATTTTGTTGCAGACTGTTGCCGGACCGGGTATTGCCCGAGCCACTGTTCCAGTCGACGTTGTTCTTGCAACGTCCCGTTTTCTGAAGCCGGCGCGGATGTTACTTGGAGAGCCTGCAGGCGTCGAGACTGTCATGCAGCTGTGGCCGCAAACTGCTCGACTGGGTTCTGTCCGTCTCATTGTCGCAATCCGCGTTGTTCTTGCGACGTCAATTCAACAGAAACTGATGGTAGAGGCCTCTCTCGGAGATTGGATCGCACGAATGCTGATGCGGTCTCACAACCGCCAGCTACACCAGCCACTATGCCTGCTCGTCGGCGCGTTTTTCGTTCTGAGGGCTGCTGGGTACTTGCCACACCTGCTTGTACCACGGGGTATTGCCGTGAACACTGCACCAGCACCCGCTGTAGTTGTCATGCTGCGCCACACTCATCATCTGGCCAGCCCCCTCAAGGCTCAAGGGTTCGCCGTTGTCGCCGTAGCGGCTGCCAGGAGCATGTCGAAATCGGATGTCGCACCGGGTACTGCCCTGCGCATTGTTTCAGCCGGGTTTGTCGTAACCAAGTTCCGGTTCGTCAACCTGGGCCGCTGCAGCACTATTTGTCTGATATTTGCGCCAACCTACCTGTCGATAGCGAAAGGCTGCCCAGCCACATTCGTAACTCGCTTGACGAGCTCCGTGCATTTGCTGATGCCGGAACACCAGGAAATGCCCGCGGCTCCCGCCGTCGCCAGCGCGACGCGAGCCGAACCTCCTGAGCCTGGCTGTGCTGAATGCCAACCGCCTCTGGCTCCCTGATGGGTCGGAGCATTATGCCTATCATGGTCTGGTTGGCTTGCTGAAACATGGCGCACGGACATGTTGTGTGTACAAGAAACACGGGCCCCACATGATGCATGCCTGCCCTCCGATCAGCCGTACTTTTACGACGGCCCCCAAGGTGTGGGAGGCTGTGGAGCCGGTTTCTTGGTGCGTGATAGTTTCGCATCCGTGCCCGTGCCAGTTGTCAATGCTAACCCTCGTATTCGTTGGAGAGGTATTCATCCGACTGGGTTGGGTTCTATCTTGATTTGTAGCTTCTACGCGCCGCATGTCGGTATGCTTGTGGCTGACCGCGTTGCATTCTGGGTTCATCTTCGGGCCTTTGTTCAGGAAGTGCTCAACCAGCACCCTACCGCCCGTTTGATCCTAGCTGGGGACTCCAACGTGTATTTGTCTGAAATCACGGGTGTTGGCAATGAACGTCCTGGAGAGGCACAGCTGCGTCGATTGATCAGAGACCTGTGCCAGGATTTCGGTTTAGTCATTGCGAACCCAGCTGGCATTCCCGCGCACCGTTCGGGTTCCTCGATTGACCTTGTGTTTGCCTCGCGGGATCTTTCAGTCAAGGGTCTAGTTGTGCACGACGGGTTTTCCTGTGCGTGCTCTGGTGGTTCGTGCTGTCCGGCCCTCGGCAGTGACCATAAACTCATAACCTTTGAAATTGAGGTGCCGTCATCCGTTCCCGAAACAACGCATCCGTCCTGGCCGCGTGTTCGTGACTGGCGGCCTGTTGTGCACGCTTTGCGGCCCCAGTTGCTGGAGTGGTCCGCTAAGGTGTCGCGTGTGCGCCGTGATGGTGAAAACTATCCTACTGACACACGGCGTGCCATTCTTGACATTCTGTATGGTGAGTTTATACACATGCTGTGGGGCACGTGTAATCCCCAATGCCTGTCGGAGCCTCGCCGTTGTAGTCATCGACCCCAGCCCGACTGGTGGAATGATGAATGTTACGATGTCATGGTATGTAGGAATGCTGCCTGGCGGCATTGGTGCCGTGAAGGCACGTCCGAATCTCGCCAAGCATTTCGTGCCAAGCGGCTCGAGTTTCATCATCTGGTACGGCGCAAGAAGGCATCTTTTTGGCAAGCGTGGCTTTCGGCAC